TTCCTCTCAATTAGGACTCTCCTAGCTAGAGTCCTAACAGAATGTCCTTCTCAATTAGGACTCTCCTAGCTAGAGTCCTAACAGAATGTCCCTCTCAATTAGGACTCTCCTAGCTAGAGTCCTGACAGAATGTCCCTCTCAATTAGGACTCTCCTAGTTAGAGTCCTAACAGTGATGTTACAGGCAACAGAAGAGAAATAGATAAAGAGAAGTGATAAGAGCAAGAACATAAGTGAAAAGAAGAAAAAAAGGGTTAGAAATTATTTAAAGTAGTTAAACATAGTATTAGTTTAAAAAATAAAATAAATATACACAACAATTGAATTTGAAATATATAAAACTATTCTTTATCATATTTTAAACACAGTTTTTTATTTAACCCATATTTCCACTCTTATTACAAATTTTGGATCCTTTACGTGTATCCTAAATTAGAAACAGTCATTTCACACATCAATCCTTATGCGTACCCAACAATTAAACAGTCATTTCACACACCAAGTCCAAGAAACTTACTCCAAGTCTGCGTTGTCTTCATAAAAAAATTTGGCAGCCATAAAAAAGTTAAATTGCAAAATGATAACAATTAAAGAACCACCGGTCTTAGATCATTCTAGATAAACTAAACTTTTTTTTTTAAATGTCCCACTTGCCTATTTCTGCAAAAAGAATATTTTCTTTTTTCCTTTAAATTATAAATATAGTGTTATTTTATCTTCTTCTCATGTACCAAGTCTGCTCGAACTAGTCTCTGAAATATTGCTGACCAAGTTTTATCCAGAAAAAGAAATATATATCCTTTGCTTCAGTGGGACAAAGGTTAGGACAAATAGGATAAAAGACAACAAAAATCAGTATAATTACTAGAAGAACTATGAATTAAAGTTTATCCTAGAATGGAGAATGTGCAAGCCTACTGATAGGGAATTTGACATGTAGGCACTTGGATGCTATATAACCACAAGCCTGACACCAATTGCATTTGGAAACACATTTCAAATGTGCATTGGTGATTGGTAAATTTCTTTCAAATCACATCTGGCTTGGATACTGCATTGAAAATGCAAAAATGCTGATACAACCTTAGGGTAGCATTAGCATTTCAATATTTACATGATGCTAATGTAATTTTTTAAATTCCTAAAGTACCCTATGACTTTATTTAAAAATTAAAATTACAGTAAAGTCAAGGTGATTTAGTGAGAAAATAATATGATTTATATTTTCTATAACATGAAATTTTATTTATTTATTTCTAAAGATCATTTTATATTTATTTATACGATTATTTTTTTATTTGTTATATATTTGGGTCATACAAATTTTTTTTTACAAGATTATATACATTCATTTATTTATTTTATTTATTTACTTATTAGTTTAAATAAAAAAATGTATTCACTTTAAATAAATATTAAAATAATTAGAAGGGAAAATTTGTCACAAAAAATTCAATGGACTTTTGAAATGCAATTTTACCGAACAATATGTATATTAATGCACATTTAAAATACAGTTTTCGTCTATTGTTGACCAAACATTCAAAGCATTTCATAACTATGCATTCACTTAAACTTCTTACTCCAACTGCACATTAAAAATACAAATGAGTTCCCAAATACAGCCACCTACTCAAATGCCACATCGGGCGAGTGGCCCACATGGTCAGCATGAGTCCTGCAGAATACCTCCCCACTTGATCTCGACAATTACAAACTTCTTCACGAGTTTCGCCTCCTTTTACTATCGCCAACCTCCTCTCATTCCTCTTCCTTTGTCGCCACCTCTTCTTCCTTTCTCTTCCTCCTTTTGCTTCGTCCTCTTCCTCCACCACTTCTTTTTCTTCCTCCTTTTCCTCCACCGTCGCCCCTTCCTCTTCTCCTTCCTTTGAGTCATCCATACAAACCAGTGTACCGGGTTCATCGTTATTCACCAACACATATGTGTCCGATGTGCGGCACGTTGAACAACCAAAATCTGTTTTGATGCTACTATTGCCTTTATCACATTGAACTTGGTATAAGCAACCAAATCTGATAGCTACTTTGGAAGTATATTTTAGCTAAAAGCATGAGGATGAACATAGAAATACATTATTGATAAAAATTGCTACTATAATAATTGCTATAGTACTAATGCTATTGTAGTACTTGAGTCTCACACACATTCAATTACAACTAGCATGCTAATAGAAATATAAATAATATGTATATATTACCCTCACATAGTGATATGATTTGTGATGTCTATGCATCATAAATATGATAAATGTCATGCTCATGTTTTCGACTTTTAAAATTGAAGTACATACTTTCTAAAAAATATTATTCTCAGTGTTCTATGAATTGTTGGTTGAGCATGCATAAGAATCAATGTTTATTTTAAGTAAGGTTCGCAATACCGTACCGTACCGATATTTCGACTTGGGCTCGGTACCGGTACGGTACGATATACCGAACGGTACACCCAGGTGTGCCAAGTATAGTGTACTGCTACAGTGCTACAGTGCACTCGGACCGGTAACAGGCGGTCCGCGTACCGGCAACCGGTCGGACCGGTACGTACCGCCCGTACCGGGCGATATAGTTCGGTACTGTAGACCTCGATTTTAAGTATATTTTACAACGAAAAAAATATGGCCCTACGACATAACAAGCTTAAGTGTTCTACCAGATTTGAGTATGAGGTTAAGTTATGATAATAAACATGCATATAGTGTAGTGATTTAAAAAATGCCAAGAGCCAGAAGGCGCCAAGTTCTGAAAATGCCAAAAGCGCTAAGCAAGCACTCACCTAGGCGCCCGCCCGAACGATGCGAGGCACTCTAAAATATTAAAATATAAAAAATATAAAATATAATAAATAAATATGATTATATAAATAAAAATATGACATTAAATTGAACGGATGCTTTAGATAATTGTATTTCCAAGAAGGATCCTTTTTTGAATTTTTTGATGAATCTTCTAAATTGCTTTATACACTTGCCATTAATCTTGAAACCCTAATAACAATTCTAAATAAATAGATATTAGTAGTGCTAAAATCTAATTAGGGACTATTTTCTCTGTATAGTGTTTTCTAAATTGCTTTGTAGGGTATGGATGGGACTCGTAGGAAGTTACAGCTACAGTATACAAGAACAAGTTTTAAAACATGCAATAGGGTTTACAAGAGATTACTTACAAGCGTACAAGTTCTATGATAGAAGGTCTCTTGAACTTGAACTTACAGAACTTAAGTCTTAGGATTCTAAGGTCCTTGTCCACTTTACACATTAGGTGGAAGAAAAACTAACAAGGCTGAACTTAGGCTGGAAATCCCTCCCCTTCTGTCTTCAGGCTTTTTATAGGCAGTGGATGATATTTTTGGATCTTGTTTCTACTCAGTTTGTGAGTTCATTTCTTGTCCTCCCGTGCTGTCTTTATGAAGGGCTTCACTGTTCCTATCTCATATGATAGAGGTGATGTGTTGTTTTTTTCATCACTCATCGGAGTTCCTAGTCATGTCATCCATCATATTTTGTTAGATAATAACATATTTTGTCTGACGTTTGAAAGAATCTATCTCACCTGGATTTTAGACTTTTAGATATGTCTCATCTTTTTTATTGACTCGATCCTTATGACTTGTATAAGATTTCTTTTCTGGTGTATGACTGTAGTTTTTCTGACAAAGATCATCTTGTTGCTAACTCAGGGTTGTGGAGTCCCTTCCATGATTATGATCTTTTTTTTGTAAATCTACCTCTCGATCTTTTTCGGGTAAGATAGAATTTTTTTCTCTTACTCCTGCAATTTTCACTTTTAGTTCAGAAATACTTGTGGTAGCAATTACTGTAGTATGCTTATAAGCAATCTCTTCCATGCCCTCTTGTATATTTCTAAACTTGTTCTTGTATGTTTAATATTGCATCTTCCAAAGTTAGTACTATAGCACTGGTACTATAATACTATAGCTAGTACTATAGCAATTACTACAGCAGCAGTTATTATCAATAATATATTCCTATATTGATGTTCATATTTTTGTAAATTAGCTAAAATAGGCTTTTCAAAGTTGCTATCAAATGTCATACGTAACCTTTGAACATCTAAACTATTATGGTCCATTGGTCTTATATTAGTTCAAAGTAGCTAAGAGTTTCTTTATGAAGTTATATTCACGTAAATTTATAAAAAAGGATCATCAGTTTGATGATTTCTTATGGAAAGGCTTAAAAAACTCCATATTACATTTTATGGATATTTTTCCCCTCTAAAACAGTAAGTAGTCTCCATTTCATGCTCAGTTTCCAAGTTCCAAGTATGCTTGACTATACGATGATGAAAGATAGTTGCTGACAAATTCTTTTAAGACTAATAAAAGAGAACAAGGCAAGTTGAAGTATATCAAAGATGAGAATCAAAAATATAAAAAATCAGAAATAATATTATTCTAGTTACCAGCAAAAATGGTCTCAAATTGTATGCCAATTCTCGCACCTTCCAGACAACATATCACCTACTAACAAAGATGAACAAGATGCCAATTCATTTAGCAAGTCAACAGTCATACACAGTCACAAATAAGCATATAAATTTACAACCTTGTTCTGTAGCAAAAGGTTAATACTGTAACATAGTTATTGAAATCTCTAAGTGATATTCAACTGTTAGATGCATAAGAACAATAGCATGACAATCTCACAAGAGTATTACTTTCAGGATGTCACCACCCAAGTTTATCCTTTAATATATTTACATAAAAACTTCAATATACAAAAAGCAAAGCGAGTTCAGTAACCAACTATCACAATTTTCATTAGAATGACAATGATGAAACTGAAGTATTAAATTGCCATATGATCCATGGATATATTTAGCTTGACAAACAGTGGTGTTAGCAAAAAAAAAAAACATTTCAACAACACAACAACTGATAATTGTCAAAAACTGTATATTCAAGCACAGCAAAAATGCTAAGCTAACTGGTGGAGTTCAGTGGGCACCTTCTCCCCACTATACCACCGAAGAAAAGGATGTCATTCCAACTATCCACCAATTCAAAATCTAATGACAATGGAGTGAGATCCCATTTCAGCCTTTACTGATGGACATTTGTGATATTAAAGCTTTCTATTTTACCAACCTCACGGTAAAAATCATCAAGAAGCACTAAGATTGTCAAAGGTTATTTCCTATATCTAAAACTTCATTCATGACAAATAATACAAGAACCTGATTGACAATGTGTTCATTGCCAAAAAGTTAAAAAAAAGAAAGAAAGAGAGAGAAATTAGAAAAAATGCATTGTTACTTAAGGGTGCAAAAAAATTGCAGATGAGACCAGTGATTTAAAAAGCGTTAGGCGCCAAGGTCCAAAAACGCCCGAGGCACTAGGCGCTCGCCCGAACGCAGTGAGACGCTAAAATATAAAAATATATAATATAATTAATAAATATAATTATTTAAACTTTTAAATAAAAATACGCTATTAAATTAGGAAAATCTAAGGTATAAAATCATAATGTCACATTAACAAAAAGTCTCAAAATTCAAAACAATAAAATTTTACATCAAAGTCATTCATCATAATCAATATTATCGTCATTTTCACACAAATCATCTTCATTGAATTCGTCCTCTTCCTCTTGTCCTTCCTCTTCATCAAAATATGTTTCATTCTCTGTCTTCAACAATAACAGGAGCCGAGTTTGATGCTTTTACACTCATTTTTCTCTTTGTCATCTGTCTTATATATATTTGTAATTCTCCAGCACTGAAGCTCTTGCCACATCTCCCCATGTCAATCTATCATCTTCAAATACAAGCTCGTCTTCGACATCTTGCAAGTTAGCACCCATTTCTCCCACCAACCACTTATTTAAATCATCAATATCTTGCAATTAGATTTGATCAATTCTATTTTACAAATCATGACAAGCCTTCAAAGCTTGATTATACTTTATGTAAACAAGATCGTGTAATCGTTGATGTTCCAACCGATTTCTTCTCTTTGTGTGAATCTGTCATGTCATATAATTTAAAAATATATTAATACATCTATCTAAATAAATTAATTAATTAAAATAAAATATTTAATGATCCTTATATGCTTAAAGACACTCCAATTTCGCTCACAACCCGAAACACTACATGTCAAACTAAGTACTTTGATAGCAAATTGTTGTAAGTTCGGGATGAAATTTTCAAATAGACTCCACCATTCAATTGCAAAATTTATGTTATTATTAGCAATAACATAGTAACATACTATAGTTGAAATTAATTATATCAAATTATTACAACCTGGAGACGTAGTTGTCCTGGATCGAACGGTCATTGGAATTCCAAAGACCTTCAACATTCTTATATAAAGATAATTCACGAATAATCTTATCTTGCACCTCAAGACTTGGAATTAATCTTGCAACGCACTGATATAACTCATCCAAAACTTCTACATCAAACCCAAAAGATTTAATCTTATAAAAGAATTCAGGGTTCAAATAATATCCTGCTGCATGTAAGGGACGATGAAGTTGACAATTTCATCTTTCGTTGATTGTAAAAATTTTCTCATATTTTTTTTATTTTTATTAAAAGACTTTTTAGTTGTCTCATTTGCTCTATCCATAACCTCATAAATATATCTCATTGCAGGTTTGTTTTCATTATCTACCAACAAAAGGACTCGAACAAGAGGGCCCATTACCTTTAATATATGAACCCAGAGTTTTTGGATAGGACTTTTAGACTAGAGGAGTTTCATTCAATACAGGCACCGGTGTTCGGGAGTTATATTCCATGCCAGAGTTCGGAGTTTTGCCCCTACCTATCTCCTTGACCTACAACGTTGCTTGTTCAGTTGCAAGAGCAGTTACAAGATCTGTATTTGAAGAGTTTACTGAGGCGTTAAGTATTGCCAGTTGAAGGCCACACTTATTTCATATTTCATGCAAGTTTAGTATCAAATAGTTAATCAAATAGGTCATTAGGGAAGAAGAGGTTCAGCTGTTCCGGCACCCGCTCACTGACGTGCAACAGAAGAAGAAGTGGAAAAAAAGAAGTAGAGCATAGAAGCAGGAGCAAGTGAGAGGTCAGCTACTGGCGGTGGTGCTTAAAGTGACGAGTAAGGAGTGTGAGGCAAAGGGAAGCAAAGCTGGCAAGGCAGAGTGTGCGTGTATTTACTATTCTTCTCTATGAAGTGGATAACGCTATCGACAATTCCATTGCTTGTTTTACCTTTCACTGGACTGGCCCAACTCCATAAATGCGCTTGGTGAAGCTGTAAATAAGGGGAACTTCTGAACTTCTGAAATATGTAAGTTAGTTTCAGGGGTGCGCCGGTCCCCAATCAGAGTGAAGTCCTGTTTTTTGGAGCTTTCATCACTTTGCTATTTCATTTTCCGATAAAAGGTGTGTCTCTCTAGTATTAGTGCTTAATGCTTCTCGATTCTACCATCTAATCTTTATGACAAAAAGGTGTGTTTATAGTACTTGTGCTTAATGCTTCCCGATTCTACCATCAAATCCTTAGAATATAGTATAGAGTAGATTCATTGGATTGGTTCATCAATTGCCTTGGAGTTAGAATTCCACTTTGACTCTGCGTTGCTCTAGTTCTCGTAACAAACAAGCTTTAGCTCTAGTCTCGTAACAAACAAGCTTAGTATAATCAAGTATAGCGTTAGGAGCCTCAACGGTAAACAAGCAAACAAGCAAACTGATTGATTATTGTTTCTTTCAACGTTACAGGCTACGAAACCAGATACTGCTATCGCATTCCTGACAGGCGAGACTCCACTCAAGACTGCTATTGTATCGCATTCAGGACAGGCTAACTTCAAGACTTCACTCTGATAGCGAATTAAACACAAGGCGGAGTTTGCTTAAGTTTGAAGTAAACCATTCATTGATTATCTAAGACACCCATTATAAAAGCATAGTAAGAGAACTCCTAATCTTAGGGTTAGGGAAACATTATAGAAGAGGGTCACAACACTGCGTTACTGCTTTCATACGACACTCCGCAGAAGGAATGACTTAGAGCAGAAGGAATGGGGATTGGACTTGATACTTGAAGACTTGCTACTTGATTTCGAGCAGTAGGGCCAGGCCCGTGTGAAGTAACAGTAAGGAATTCGGTGTGAAGTAACAGTATAGTTATTTGTAAGTAGCACATGATATAAGGCATAGTAACACCACACTAAAGTAGCATCATAGTTTCTACTGGCGCAGCTGGATGCTTGCTTCTGATCAATAGGAATAAAAGTTGCAAAAGAATATCATTGAGTGCACAACAAATGTAATGGAGTAAGAAAACACTGCTGACAGCTAGCTCCGATCTACCAAAGCAAACAAGGGTTGGTTGTTCACTGCTTACTGCTGGCTCTGTTATACCTAGCCTCACAGGGGTTGGTTGTTGACATAGAACTGAGGCTTAGTTTACTTGTTCATTCGCCGCTGCTTGTTCCACTTGTATGTTTTCTTGTTCTGTTACTTTGAGCTACACCCTCACTGAACCTTGACCCACTACTCGGTAAAGCGAAGCACTTTCCTATACGTTATCTCACATAGCTAACTAACGCAATAAAGAATGACATTACTACAATACACACAACATACTCAACTCCTTTCTGTCAATGTGACGAGATACCCTCTGCTTTATACTTGATTGGAAACTGTGCTCAAGCATTGTCGGGATGCGCGTTACTTTCTCTTATATTAGATGTGTGTTCATTCCATTCTATTTCTTATTTGATATTAGTCAAGCAAGAAACCGATGAAACAGCAATAAAACTACTTATAACATAACAGCGGTCCACTGAATGGTGATTTCCCTATGACGGGTAGTTAACCGGCGTGAAACCTTAGTTCTAGAGGGCTTTCTTCCCTTTTGAATGGTGATTTCCCTATGACGGGTAGTTAACCGGCGTGAAACTTAGCAAACAAAAGAAAAGCACTATGATCTCTGGGAGTGGTCCAAGTCGTCTCTTGTCCTATCCTCTTCAGCGCTGTATCTTATAGCTTAGTTAAGTCTCGCTCCTTCTATTGCTCTCTAAACTTGTGGAAGATGATTTAGTGCAAACAAAACGAATAGAACTAGTAGAACCTAACGTAACTGCGAAACTCCAATCAAAAAAGGATGTTTCTTCCGTTGAATAAGTTGATGTTGCTTGTTTTGTTCCCTTTAACCGCTGAACTCACTTAACTCACCCCGCTCTCTGTCTTATTCTTATGTATTTAGTGCACCCCTTGCAAGAGATCATTGTTATTAGGCTGCATTTAGTGTGCATCTAGAAAGAGGTCAAACACTGTTATTCTTATGAATTTAGTGCACCTAGAAAGAGGTCAAACACTATGATTAGGCTGGCTTCATGCATCATCAAGTAAGTGCGGCAAGATAGGGCCATAAGAGGAGTTAACCCAGGGTCACCTTTTCAACTTTCCACTTCTATTGCTACTACTATAGTTGGGCCTGAGTGAAGCTACCTATCTTATTATTCTTCCGAAACAC